CACCCACTTGCTATCAGAAATGGGGTAGATAATTCCTACATCCAATAGCTTGATCACTTTTTTTATGACCACTTCCTTCATGTTGGGATTCAACCGGCGTTGCACCTCTCTAGAAGGTTTAGCGTCGTCCTCCAAATGAATGCGGTGCTTACAAATAGAAGGATCGATTCCTTTCAAATCAGCCACTGCCCAGCCAATAGCTTCTTTGTGCTCTTGAAGCACCGCTAAAAGGCTATTTTCTTGGTCTTTTAAAAGGTTCGATGCAATGATGACCAGAAGAGTTTGATTGACACCAAGAAGCACATACTTGAGGTGGGCCGGGAGTGGCTTTAACTCAAGTTGTGGTGGAGATTTCAAGGAAGGGACCGGAGGAGTAGTGAAAAGTTGAGGAAGTGGTTCTCTCGGTATTTTCCAAGAAGGACAATCCATGATAATATTAATGTCAAGCAAAGAATTTACTTCCTTGATGGATTGGTCAATGTCAAAGCTTAAGAAGTCATAGTGAGACATGAAAGTTTTCAAAGGATCTTTGCTTAGAGTGAAAGGGAGGGATTTCTCAACAACTTCGTCTATCACATCGATAAGAAACAATCATCCTCATCGAAAGGATGTTGAGTTGCATGGAAGATATGGAGTTTGAATTACATGTTTCCAAAGGCGATGTCCATCACCCCGGTTCGGCAATTAATTAAAGCATTAGCCATAGCTAAGAATGGCCTACCGAGGATCATGGGAATGTGCTTTTTTGGGTCATGGATCGGTTCCATGTCAAGAACCACAAAGTCTACCGAGAAGTAGAATTTATCCACTTTGTTGATGACATCTTCAAGAATGCCCCATGGATGCTTGACCGATCTGTCGGCAAGCTACAAGACCACTGAAGTTGGCTTTAGGTCTCCCAACCCAAGTTGTAAGCAAACTGAATATGGAATGAAATTTACACTGGCTCCTAAATCAAGAAGGGCCCTTTCTATCTTATTGTCGCCAATGACACACGAGATAGTTGGGGCACCCGGATCCTTATATTTTGGAGGAGCACTGTGTTGAATAATTGCACTCACATTTTTAGTTAATCTTACCTTTTTTGGCAAGTGATTTTTGGAAGTGCGCTTTTGAGTGCACAAATCCTTGAGAAATTTTGCATAGGGAGGGATTTGCTTGATAGCATCTAAGAGAGGCAAGTTGATCTTTACTTGCTTAAAAACTTCCCACATGTCTTGAATTTTGCAATTTTTGTTCCCAAAATGTGTTGGCTCTTGGAGATGTTGAGGAAACGGAGCCTTAGGCTCATAAGAAATCTCCACATTTGGGTTGGCAAGCTTGTAATTTTCAGCATTAGACTTTGGATTTTTAGGAGTGAACTTTGGATTAGAAGAGATGAGATTTGGATTTTTGGGAGGAAGAACTTTGTCATTGCTACTTCCATCAACCTTATTATCCACAACTCGACCCCGAAGGGTAGTGATTGCTTAGACTTGTTCATGAGTTGGCCCACTCAGAGGAGGGGTTTCATTAATCACATGAATCCCTCTAGGATTTTCAAATGGTTGAGCGGGAAGCTTCCCCTTATCTCTTTGAAGGAGTTGGTTCATTGAAGTGACTATTTGCCCCACTTGATTCTCAAGTTTAACAATAGACTAAGTGTGGGAATGAACCATTTGGAGAGTGGGCTACAAAGATGACAAGAGTTGTTTTTTGGATTCCATCATTTGATTATTTAGAGATTCCATCATTTGCTTATTTGCAGCCATAATCTCATCCGTTAGGAACACAGGAGGTTGATTAGAGACATTTGGATTATAAGGGGGACGGTAGCTTAACGAGGCCTGATATGGCCTATTTTGAAATTGAGAAGAGGGCTGATTTTGCTACCCTTGATTTTGAAATTGCGAATTTTATGGGGCTTGTTGCCTCCACGAGAAATTCGGATGATCTCTCCATCCTGGATTGTAAGTATTGGAATATGAATTATTTCCTGGCCTTGAGAACATTGCATTTGCTTGCTCTTGATTGGGAATAGAAAATTGTTCTGGTGTGGGACAATCTTCCGAGAGATGGAAAGGATTAGTGCATGATGCACACACCGCACTAGCTGAATTTTGAGACAAGGAAGGAGATAGATGTGGTGCCATCAATTGATAAAATTTATGAGCTATGGCATCCACTTGAGATGATTCTTCCCTCATTGTCTTCGGTTGACAAGGGTTGGTGTTCTTGGCATTGGTTAAGGTTGGAGCCCTACGAGAATTGTGTTGCAATGAATTCTCACTCAAATTCTCTAGTAAGGTCCACGCCTCATCCGCACTTTTAGACATGAACATCCCTCCACATGATGAGTCAACCATGAATCTATGGGTGTCGGTCAAACCAGCATAGAAAGCTTGTACCAATTGCCATTTTGGAATTAGGTGAAGCGAACATTTCCTAAGGAGGTCTTGTAGTCTTTCCCAAGTCTCATGGAGTTTTCCCCATCGCTTTGTGAAAAGCTAAGAATAGAACGCCTCATTAGATTGGTTTTACTCACTGGATAATATTTTTTTAAGAATTCTTGTTGCAATTGAGCCCATGTAATGATGGAATTTGCAGTAAGGGAGTTCAACCAATATTTTGCCCTATCTTTTAAGGCAAATGGGAAGAGATGCAAATGGAGAGCATTTTCAAGGAAGCCCTTAAGCTTGATGGTAGAGTAGATTTCAAGGAACTCATCAAGATGCTTGTAGGGGTCCTTATGTTCCAAGCTATGAAAGGAAGGAAGCATTTGAATTGAACTAGATTTGATTTCATATTGGGCTGCATCGATATTCGGCATCACTATGCAAGAGGGAGATGCATAGGTTGTAGGGATGAAGTGGTCCCAAAGAGTCATGGGAACCACATTTGGAATTTCGACCCTATCATTATTAATTCCCTTATTTCTGACATTTCCTACATTTTTAGCCATTGTATTAAATTCAAGTTCAATTCCTCTTATGTTAGCAGATTCCCTAAGGTTTCTTCTAAGAGTCCTTTCAAGTGAATTTATGTCAACTGGTAAGTTAAGAGTCGGTAAGAAAAGTGATCTGCGACCAAACATCAATAACTCACAACACAATCAAAACAACAATGCATCACCATAACCTCCACATACAATGTTCCCGTTCTCCTCAAATCAAGATAGAAATGTAAATAGCCACGACAAGGACCGATGCTTGCAATTGAAAAGAACAATAAATAGCCTCGATAAGGGCTTCACAACTTAACTAAATCTAATCTAAACACATGCAAGATATTCACAACTTTGAAACTAGAGCTTCGAAAACTTACCTAAAGTCGTCTAGACTTACAAATTTGCTAGCTTTCCTCAACAAGCCATGAATACCTAGAATCTCACAAACACTTAAAATGTCACAATGATCAAAACCACGCAAGAAAATATTCGCAGACACAATATTACCAATTAAACCAAAGGTAATCCTAAAACCTCGGTTGCCAAACCATTTGCAGTCCCCGGCAACGGCGCCAAAAATTAATCGGTATGACAATTATACATCAACCTTTGCAATAGCACAAATCATTGTAAAATAGGGCTATTGGTCGGGTAAGTCGAACCACTAGGACTGCTAGTTTATGGCCACTAAGATATCTAGAATCACTTTTAGAATGATGAAAGGGTATATAGAGGTTTGTTGGTTTGTCACTAAACTTAGGAATTTAAAATGCATAAAACAATAACTTGCAAGAACTTTAGTGAAAAGAAATTCAGAAAAAGAAGACTAGGGAAATGAATCCACTCCAACCCTTTACACATGCTAGAAAAAGACTAAATTGGGGAGAAACAATATATATAATGGTTAAGAATTATATAGCAACCTATGGTTGCCATATAATCGTTAAGAAGTTCATTAAATCAAAAACAAGAATGATCCATCAAAAGTTCATATAAATTGAACTACCTAAACTAGGGTGTAGTATCAAGCATACTCTCTTAAGCAAAAGATCATCAAGCCCTTAATCAAATGATAAAGCACATGAAGTTAAGAATCAAGCATAAACTATCAAAGGGATTACCTAAGCAATGGACTATCAAGGCTCTCTATCAACATGCCATTAAAACCATTCCACAACCTTATTTTCATTGTCACTATGAAAATACAAGCATTGTGGTTAATAAAAGAAATCATCTAAGACAAGACAATTAACTTAAAATAACCATTTATAGACATTAGAATCCATTACAACAAGTGAGAAGCTCTAGGTCATGGAAAGACCAAAATTATACATTATTATCCCCAAAATATAAATTAATCTAGAACATGTTTACAAGAAAGGGCTTCATCACCTCCCTAGATGAAGGTTTAGTTACCCATGGATGCACTAGAGGAAGGAGGAAGCTTTGAGACTTCTTTCATTTTCGAGCTCAGCCCTTCAAGCCACACAAAAACCCTCTCTCTAATATTTCTCTCTCTAGAAATCTTGCCAAAAAAATATCTATCTTATTATCCAAGCTCTAAGGCTCTAATCTAGCCAAAAACCCCTCTCCCCACACTCCATCACGAGCTCCAACCACCCTAGGAGTAATCTGCACCACACAAATTGTATAGGGAATAAGATTCAGCTGGAATTCAGGAGCAGGTGATCTATTATCCGCAGATCGGCGGGCGCCCACGGGGGCTCGGGAATCGAAGAAGCTCTCTAAACAAAATGGCGGGAGCCCGCGGTAGCGCGGCAGGCACCCGCGGAGGCTCGGCGGGGACCCGCTAGACCTGCGGGGCCCCGCGGAGGAAGGCATGCTACTGAGATGCTTGGCGGTGGCGCGGCGGGCACCCGCGGAGGCCTGTGCTCATGGCATGCAGTCTTCTCCTTGGCCACTTTGGATTGGCCTGACGACACGATCGTCATTCTAAAAAGTGATGCTGCAAGACTTATACAGATGATGGCTGAAGAAACTTGGCTCAAAAACAGTCCCCAGCACGGCTTGCTTTGGTTCTTCAAAAGATTGACAAAACCGCTTCTTTAACCATATTTGGGAGACTGGCCTGAAAGAGACGAAAGCAAACAAATAAAGCTAAACTATACATTATTATCAACTAATGTACTTAACTAATGCAAATAAAGGCGCTTGAATATGCAATATTCGGCGCTTATCACTTATCATTCGTCCAACTATGGACACCCAATCTCTCCTGAGATGAATTGAACTCCTTACACACAATGAGAAGAATTAACTGGAAACACATATGGGACTACGAACATAAACCTAGGCGACCTCGCCGCTAACGGATCGTCATAATTATCAACACTGGAACCCCACACATGCTACTCCGCAACACCCATACTGAAGAAAATCAATCAGATAAGGGTACGAATGCCCACAACGTACTTACACTAGGAACCATCACTGTACATTGAACACCTTATTTCATTATACCTGAACCCGTCATCCCCCAAATGACAACTCTTATACCATAAAACAACATTTTGCCACCCATTCTATCTTTACCTCCCCAGGTGACATTACCTCGATCTCCGCGCACACAAGACCCGCGACCTCTGTCATAACAACCCACTACTTGTCAAAAGAAAAAGGTGTCTATCTGGCAACATCGCCCTCATTGGTCCTAAAGACTCAACTATCCACAATTGTCTCAATTGGCGCACAATCCCACCACCTACCTATCAGCACATAATAAACAGCTTATAATCTCTAACCCATTCTCGGATCACACCTTAAACCATCTTGCTCATTAGCATGAAATAACACACCATGACACCATAACACCTCCACTGTCGCTCATTCCAATAACCACTCAACCCTATTATCCCATCAGACCATCAAGTCATTACCAAAGGATTTTTCCTCGAACATCCTTAAGATAATATCACTGTAACAAAAGAACAAACATAACTCTTGCTACTCCCTATAATAACCACTATTTACCACTAGAAAAGAACATCCATATGACAATACCATGCCAACAAATCCTCAAAACAAAAATGAGCATAGAAATCCAAAATACTCAACACCCAACTGTCTCCTTAAAACCATCAACGATGAAATCTATCACCACTTTTTTCCTGAATATTGGGGTCACCCCTAAACTGACTTACTCTCTAATACAGGAACCTCAAGTACTAATATCCCCATGATCATCCTTCCCAAAATAACTACACAAACTCCAATCCCTTGGAAACAACAAGCCTCCACTACCAACCACTCATTCAAAAGTGATGCTAACTCGACATGAAAACACACATCACTCATGATACCCGACACCATAGTCAACAACCCGCTACAAGAAAATAAAAATCCTACGCGGCAACGCTACAGGAATAATCCCTAAGAGGGACAACAGACACCATGCCCAAACGATCAACCACGTAAACTACACTCTACAACAACTACAAAACAATGGTCCCTCATTGGTATCTAACTGGACGCTCAAGTCATACCTACAACTGACTTATCCGACCAAACCAAAGGGTATACAACTCTTACACCCCCAGCACTATCATTTCCCAATCAATCGCTACGATTACCATCTAACGCAATAGAATGTCCACATCGATTTCATCTGAGTTGTGTGCCCGCAGCTCACCCAGTGTGGTAGCCTTCTGGTGCCACCTGCACATGCTCATGCACACCCACCCACAGGGCCACAAAACAAAGAAATCAAATAGAACAGGCCGCTAAGCCCAAAAGGTCACTCCTCATCCTGGCTCAACACAATCTGTGACCAACACTCTATGGTCACCAAACAGCACCAGACTAACCTTTTACCTTCCTTATTGGAAATCAAAACAAAATGTGCAACTTACTCATCTCGTCGCCAACTCAAGGTCAACCTCTTTCATACTCTCAAAATGACAATCTAAGGTACAAGTCATACCCTATATACCACCTCACGTCCTATGACATATAATCAACTTTGCTTATATGAAAGGATCCCATGACTCACACACCATACCCTACTAATCCATCATCCCAAGAGTCCACTCACTATACTGAGAAACACAACACAAGCTTTCGCCCGTGCAAGAAAAATGAGGACTTCAGTCTCGGAAAACACCTAAAATCAAACCCTTTCACCGTTACCAGTCTCTAGGGAAAAGACTCATAATGGAACAATGTGTCCAGATCAAACCGGAATCAAAAGATCGTGCTATTCACATCACCCCTGCTCACAACACTGATACCTTCCCCAGTCGTTGGTGACAACTCACAGAACTAATACAATATAAAAACGCGCCGGCTAAACAATTACATACTGAAAACATAAAACCTACTCATTGATCATTTAAGTCAGTACTACACACATATAACATATAAGCATGCGTGGTACTTAGCACATAGTCATACTCATCATATAACATATTTCATAACTTTAACACTCGTCATCTTAGCACATATAGTATGCTTGTACAACAATAAACAACTTAGAAAGTAAGTACATAATCGCGTAAGGATATCCATATACACGATAAGCAACTCAATTAACAGACACCTTGTCATTTTAGTATGCCTTAAAAATTTTAACCATGCTATTAATCTCATAAATATTGTCACTTATCATTAAATACTGAAGCATGCTTTAACTCGACAAGTAATTAACACATAAGCAGGTAAGTAAGTAAGCAATTAGGCATGCTTTTCAAAAAATTAAAACACTTAGCACATAAGTATATAAACATGCAATTCAACTTCCCCATGCAATACCAAGTAGGCCTCTACCCATCGTCCTAATGGTATTCGAACCATTGCTCTGATACCAAATTTGTAACGACCCGAATCCGTAGGTCCGAACCGTTAGTCGGGTCCTTAACCGAACCCGAGGTCAACTAGGGATAACACCATTCTTTCCTACGTTAATACATATTATATATGTCATTCCGGGTTTATAAAAAAATAAGTAATAATAAATAGATAAATAATAATAATAATAAAATAAGATTATAACTACAAAGTATGTCAAAATGGTCTACTAACCCATCCAACCCTGTAGAGGAGTGTCGTCCGTCACTTGCCATCCGTGTCCTGAAAAATATTAAATGTAATGGGGTGACAAAATTGCTCAGTAGGTAGTGCCTAAGACTGATCGGTTGATCAACTATACATCAACCTTCGCAATAGCACAAATCATTGTAAAATAGGGCTATTGGTCAGGTAAGTCGAACCACTGGGACTGCGCTAGTCTTAAGACAACCTAAGTATCTAGAGTCATTTTAGAATGATAAGGTGTAATAAGGAGTTGTTGATTGGTTTGTCACTAAACTAGTAATTGAAGTGTGCATAAAACAAGAATGCTAGTAAATGAGAGTTAGAGATAATAAAAGGGGAAACTAAGGAAGTGAATCCACCTACGCCCTAAATACATGCTAAATCAAGACTAAATTGGGGATAAACACTATATAGGTAATGATCAAGAATTATGTAGCAACACATAGTTGCTTCATAACCAATAAAAAGTTCATGAGATTAAAACAAGAATGGTCTATCAAAAGACAACACATTTGGACTACCTAGACTAGGGTGTAGTATCAAATACATTAACTTAAGCAGAAGACCATCAAGCATTCAATCAAATGATGAAGCACATGAAGGTAAGAATCAAGCATAGTCCATCAAAGGAGGTACCTAAGCAATGGAATATCAAGTTTCAAAATCAACATGCCTTGAAAACCATTCATAGTTAATATCTTCATTGTCACTATGAAAATAAAAGCAATAAGACTAATGTAAGAATCATCAAGACAAGCTAAAGAACTCACATCAATCATTTAAACATGAATATTCATTACAAGAAATAATAAGCTCTTAAACTATGAAAAGACCAAAGTTTATACATTATAATCCCCAAAATAGAACCTAATCTAGAACATGAACAAAAGGGGAGGCTTCATCACCTCCCTAGATGGAGTTTAGTTACCCATGAGTGAGCTAGAAGAAGGAAGAAGCATGGATGGACAAGCCATTTTCGAGCTCCCTTCTTTAAGCTTCAAGAACACCTTTCTTGCTCTCTTCTCTCTCCTCTAATCTTGTAGAATGAAGGATCATGTAAATGTGTGGCCTCCCTTGCCTTATCTCCTCCAACAAAGCTCTCTCTCTCCTCCAAAAACATCCCCAACCACCTCATAAAGAAGTAAGTAGAAATGAGGAAACCAATGCACAAGTGGCTGCCAAAATGAGGATTCCTGAAGGCAATTCTGCCCCAATTTCGAGTGCTCGAAATAGGGCCTCGAGCACTCGAAAATGGAACAGATTGCTCCATGCTTGCATTGATTTGCCCGGACCTACTTTGGTAAAATAGCCATAACTTTGCGCTCCGAACTCTGAATGATGAACCATTTGAAGATTTGGAAAGCTAATTCAGAGCTCTAAAAACTTTATGTTTTGGTGGAGATCCAATTCTCAAGTCTGGTTGGTCGAAATTGAAGAGAAAGACAAAAATTCATTGCTGCCAGGCAGTTCTGAGCACCTCTGATAAGAAGATTATAACTCTCTGCTCCAAACTCCGAATGATGAACCGCTTGAAGATTTGGAAAGCTGATTCAGAGCTCTAAATATGTCATGTTATGAGGGAAGTCCAGTTCTCGAGTTTTCAAGGTCAAAATGGCGAGCAAAGTCCAGGTTCCACTGCTGCCAGAAATTCAGCATTGTGACCTTTGATGTTCAAAACTCCACAAAGCATCCTTCTTGCTTCTTTTTGGCCAATGAACCTGAAAATATGCAAAAACGTGCATATGAAGGTAATCTATATAAAATACACAAATAAAGAACTTAACTAATGCAATTTAGGGCGCTTGAATATACAATATTCGGCGCTTATCAAAGACTCACCTCTTGTAGCCCCGTGAATCTAAACAATGAATAGGACAATAGGGAACGGGGTCATACAAAGCTGGGAAAAATACAATATACATTTTTAAGTCCAAAACAAAAGAATGCCGTGTCATGAATGCAATGTCATGCATGTCACTCCCCATTTTTCAGAAAACTTCCATCATTTCAAAAACTGTTAATATAGCTCACCTTTTGGTGACTCCGCAGCGACACGAGAGAAGGATTGGCTACTGTCCCTAACCTTTGGTACCTCTGCAGCATCATTTGATGCCCAGATAGCTCAACCACGCTAGGGCAATCTCCCTAGTTCCCTCTAGGCTATATTAACACATCGGTCCTTTGGTAACTCCGCGGCAACCGGGTTTCCTCAAAACCATTTTCTCAAATTTCTACCCAAAATCCCCTTTTCAATTTCATTTCAAAACACTTTCCCATTTCTTTTATGTCCAATGCTTGTATGCATATCGCACGTCTTTTTAACACCATGGAAATAGAGAGAATTATTATCACACAATTAGCATGCTTCTATATAAAATTTCTAACAAATTATTAAGCATCATAGGCATAGAAAATTAACACATTAAGCATACTTTCCAAGTAAATCAACAAATACACATAATTACATGGTTCATATACTCAATTAAATCATCTAAGGAACAATCAATTCAATTTAATCATGCTTGACAACAATTAAAGTAGAAAAACTCACAAAGGAACAAGAATTTGAGTATTAGAGACCCCTACCTTAACAAAGAATTTTCATCACTAGATCATCAAGGCCTCCAGCTTCCGGCCTCCTCTGCAACTCTCAGACCTCTCCCTGTCTATTCATCTCGGCTCTCTCTCTCTCTCTCTCTCTCTTTGTATCTCGGCTATGTATGTTCCTCTATATTTTCTTCATTTTTTTCTCATTCAGTGCACAGCACCATCAATATATAGCAAAACCACCGACACTATACAATTATATCTCACTTTGCACTAACAAATATCAAAACCAATAGTGGACCCCGCCACTTTCTCTCTCCCTTATCACTTCGGCTGCTCCGTTTTTATTCCTTCTTATCTCATTTGCTTTCCTTACTCCACCAACAAAAAAAAAAAAAACCCTCTAATAAGAATAAAGTGAAAGTTCTATCTTGGACGAAAGTAGTACAAAAAGGTAAGTCACATTTAAGCCCACGTGACTAAAAATCAAAGCCAAAAGCATTTTGGCCAAACAATCTTGTGGTGGGACCCGTAAAAAAATCATATCAACATTACCAGTTTTCTTCTCCCATTAATTCGGCTGGCAGCATTCTTTTTGCACCAATATATATATATATATTGCAACAAACTTCAAAAATCAAACCAATATTTCATCTAGTGGACCCACAAATAACAATTTCCATTTTCCTATTTTCTTTCTAAATCTCGGCTGGCACCTTCAATTTGCTGCCCTTTTTTCTTCGATCATCATCCGATGCTTATATATATGCACACATTTTGTGACACCAAATCTAACCCATTTCTCTTCCTTTAATATGGCACCTGCCCTCTTTTCTTCATCAAACCATATATATATATATATATATATATATATATATATATAATATTCAACAAACCAAATTAATCCATTAAATCGCAATTGGATAAATCATTAATTTAAATAAATACTCAATCTTGACAACTAATAAGCATGAAATAAATATAACTTAAAATCTTGAAAATTCGGGTTGTCACATATTACTTAGATTATATATATATATACACACATATATATAAAGTAATGAGACAAAACAAGCTTGTTATTTTTTCGTACAGTGATACAGAGACAAAACAAGTTGCTTGTTTTTTTTTTTTGTATAATGATACAGAATGGAAAATTTTTACTTTTGATTCCACTGCGTAAATCAAGACTATGAATTGTAATGCTGTTGTTTTGTACATAATTAAATATATGCTTATTAATATACCTTACGGTACATATATTTATGAAAATTTTGAACACCCACTAGCAATTTAATTAATTGATTTTGTAAATTATGTATGCTTAATGTGGTAGGTAATTTAATGTTGAATTTATCACTAGATAATTAAATATTCATATTATAGAAAGATTGGTAGGTACCAAAGTGACATAACCATAATGATTAATGGATATTAATTTTAGTGGTAGGCATAATTGCAATATTTCATGAATAATGATGCTTATAATTTTTTGTAAAATTCATAAATATTGGGTTTATTCAATTATTAGAAATAATTCCTCAAACGGAATTAATTTTCAAGTGATTAAATAAACATTAAGGGGTTGTATGTAATTTTTAATTGGGTAGATATAGGATATCTAAAGGTAACTTGTCTATTTAATTAATTAGTGCATCACCAATGAAGTTATATATAAAAATACATCTAAGCATCATTTTTTGTATTTTGTGGTTATTACCCAAAGGGGTACTATAGTTGTACAATGTATTTATTTATTTTTATATGTGTTGTTATCTCAAAGTATTAACGTTATGAGCATTTACCTTATTATAATTATTTTAATGCAGTATCTCTTCCTATTTCAATGAATTCGCATGCTTCATCTGTTCCAATTCTCAACGGGACTAACTTCTCAGAATGGAATGAGCAAGTTCAGTTCAACTTAGGTGTGTTAGATCTTGATTTAGCATTTTAAATTGAGAAACCTACTGCTATTATTGATGAAAGCAGTGAGGAAAAAAGACTCTCCATAAAGTTTTGGAGAAATCGAACAGATTGAGTATTACGATCAAAACAACTCTTCCCCAAACTGATAGTGCTAAGGAATATTTGAAAAATAGTGAAGAACATTTTCGTACTGCAGATATGGCTGACCTCATGTAACAACCCGCTCCACCACATGGTATGATATTGTCCGCTTTGGGCCTGAGCCCGTACGGTTTTGCTCTTGGGTTTCACCCCAAAAGGCCTCATACCAATTGGAGGTGACACATTTACATATAAGCACTTCACCTTTCCTCTACCCAGGCGATGTGGGACTTGTGCACCCGTAGTTCGCCAATGTGGTAGCCTGACAGTGTCTCTTGCACCCGCCCACAGCACACCCGCCCACAAGGTCATCACAATCCACCCCCCTTGGAGGCCCGACGTCCTCGTCGGCACACTTCCGGCTGGGTCAGGCTCTGATACCATTTGTAACGACCCGCTCCACCACATGGTATGATATTGTCCGCTTTGGGCCTGAGCCCGCACGGTTTTGCACTTGAGTTTCACCCCAAAAGACCTCATACCAATTGGAGGTGACACGCTTACATATAAGCACTTCACCTTTCCTCTACCCAGGTGATGTGGGACTTGTGCATCCGTAGTTCGCCAATGTGGTAGCCTGACAGTGTCTCTTGCACCCGCCCACGGCACACCCGCCCACAAGGTCATCACAGACCGCGTTGGGTGGTAACCTAAATCATTCCTTGCTCGATTTGAAGCATTTGAATTACTTGGACCTAAGCAAGAACAATTTTGGTTACATATGTCTAGAATCCTATATAAACTCATGTAATGGACCTATTTTATATGTAAGAGAATATGTGAGTAGAAGAATAAGATGAAATAGTATAAGTGAAAATAATAATTTCTTAAGTATTCCTCCATATCTTCTTCTCTTCTCAAATATTGAGTATTGTGTGTCTAGCCCACTTATTTCAACAAAGTGGTATCACAGCAAAGCTAACAAAGTGATATCAGAGAAAAAACCAACAATATATTGCTCTACAAAAAATTTCAGTCGGGGCAATGGCTCCGTCCCTGCCAATGGTATTTCCTCTCCATCCTCGAAGAAGAAGGGAGAGGTTCAGCCTGGGTAAAAAAGTGTATGTGTATGTAGAGGTTTGAATGTGTTTTTTGCAAATGAATATATATATATATATATATATTAGTGCATCCCTTGGATTAATAGTTGTAGAAAATATGAAAGCAAAGGAAAATGACCAAAGTATTGAGATTGATGTGTGGTAAGAGAGTGGGACATTGAGTGAGTCGATCCCTTGCGCAAAGAGTGAGTGATAGGACAAAGAATGAGAGACATGACACGAAGAAGATGAAGGACTAGATGGCGAGTTTTGGGAGGGATTGGTGTAGTCGGAGGCAGTGAATATGCGGTCTATTATTGTGCGATACATAGAGAGCAATTTAGTTGCAAAGATTGTTGACTATTCATCTTTTTGTAACTTTTAGATCGCTTTGAAGTTATATTTTTATTTTGGTCACTAAAATCTAATTTTTTATAGAAACAAAATTAGTTTTATTGGGCCTTATGGTGCTTGTGACAATGAAAAATTTACTTTTAAAGTAGAATATTAATCTTCAATCTAGCACAGTGGCAGAACCTTCCATTCCCCAAAGAGGAGGGTAGGGGTTCATGTCAGGTGCGGGCAAAAAAGTTTGTGTAAATGGGTGTGTGAGTGAAAAAAAAAAAAAAAAAAAAAAAAAAAAAAAAAAAAATCCCACCATCTACAATCTACCAACAGCAACAAAAGATGGCATCAGAAATGACCAATCCATTCGAGTTGACAAAAGCAATAAATTTGGTCACAAGGAACGGTTTATTTTGAATCCACAAAGTATGGTGCATTTTTTGAATCCACAAAATAAATGATAATTTTAGAAAAATCTGATATTTGTATTAATAATTGAATGAATAAAAAGTTAATTCGCAGTACACATATTTATAATAAAAGAAACCCTAACACTAGAAAGAAAATTAAAATCTATTCCTACAAGGAAACTAATATCAGAAATAAGTATAAAAATAAAATCTCTCTAAAAAATCAGAAAAGATAGAATAAGAAACCTAATAAATAAAAAATAAAAAATTTAAAATTTTAGAACAATCTGAGTTCGTTAAGGCCTTAAACAAAAATCCCTAAATAATTAGCAGGCTTCGTATAAAACGATAAAAATGTGATTTTTGAGCCCTAAATGAAGGTTTTCAGCCAAAAACGAGCATGGCCCACAAGCTTTAACTAGTGGGTTTTTCTCGATGCGCCATTTCCAGTCAAATAATACTATTGGTTTGTCGAAAACGGACTTGTCGAATTGTTTGTCGAACTGTTCAGAATTGTGGGTTTTTCTGAATGCGCCGTTTCCACCCAAAAAACACTATTGGTTTATTGAAAATGGACTTGTTGAACTGGTTGTTGAACTGTTCAGAATTATATCCTGCATCAGTCCCTCTACTTCAAAAAAAACTCGTTCTCGAGTTTGGCCGCGAACAACATGAATTTTTGCCTACCACAAAATCATATTATTCACTGCTATGAGAATTTCTAAAGCATAACACCACAGTATTTCATTAGCACCTTTCTGAATAAAAACTCTCATTGCAATCTGCTCAAATAATGATCCTTCACCAATTTGAATCTCAAATTCATCAAAACCATCTTGTTCTTTTACTGCGTTAAATTCCTTAACTGCACCAACTTCAACAAGAAGATGTGAAGTAACAAAATTCTTCTAATGATTAGTCTCATAGTAATTAAATTCATATATATATAGCAATAAAAATAAATTTCAACCAGAACACCAAGATATACGCGGAAAATCCCTTCAAATTGGAGAAAAATATCACAAGACAACTCTGAATGATATCTTCCACGATGTAAAATAATAGGGTTACAATTGGTCTTCTCTAAATTAAAATGGAGGTTTACAAATCAGAAATATATCCCTAGGATACCCACAGAAACAAGTTTCACCAAAATAAGGTGGATTCCATCAACAAAAATAATAAATCTCACCCTGTTGACGATGAGTTTCCTAACGTCACAAGCATTCCTCTAAAATTTCACTTTAATGATCATTGAGAAAAGTGGGTTAGTTGTCTTTCACAATTACTCTCTTCTAATGACCAAATACCCAAATCAGAAATAATTTATTTACAACTATTTGAAAAACCACAATTCATCACTTGCTAAAGAGAGGCACCACTTTTAGTACGTACATATGCCTAGCACTTTCAATGGAAAACTAGTTGTAGTACATAAATACACCACCTTTACTGTAGTTAGAG